CCAGCTTATTTATCCCAGCCAGCATCATCACCAACACCAACATCATCATCATCAACATCACCAACATCACCAACATCACCAACATCACCACCACCACCACCACTATCACCACCACCAGCTGCAGCAGCAACAGCAGCAGCCACATGTTTCGTATCCATCGCTCAATCGCTCTCCAAGCCGTCACTCGCACCCTTGCGAGTCAGAGTCTCCCGCCTACCCCAAGAACGGCTCCAGCCCGTCCGGGTATGAGACGTGGCCGCGAACGCGCGGGTCGGCCCCAGCCACGAACGGCGCCGAGCTCGCTTCGTACGCGATTATCGAGCAGCACGAGCTGCTTGGTCGGTTTGCAAATGTGAACGAGGCGTCTCTCGAACGCATTCGCCGACGCGTCGGATCGGACGTCATCCTCAGTCCGCACCCCTCTGGCAGCGCTGCGGTCGTCGAGTCTACAGCTTCGCCTGGCTATCGGATGCGTCAGCTGCGAGACTTTTAGATTTACACACACACACACAAAAAAAAAAAAAAAACCAACAAAAAACAAAAAACACCAAGACCAACAAACGAGTCTTTCAGGGTTGAACAAGAACAACAAAACCGTTTAGACAACACGTAACAACAACTACATGAACAACAAAGAGTCAAGTAACAACACAAGATCTAGTGATGGGTTGCAGCTTTCTTTTTTCGTTTTTGTTCTGTGTTTTTTTTTTCCTTTCAGGTATTTACTGTCATTGCACATTGGCAATGAGAAGAAGAAAGAAAAAAACTAACAATACAAGCATGCAATAATTTAACAACCTCGCAAAACCTCTCTATCCTATTCGTCGTCGCTCCACTGATCTTCAATGTCCAACCCAGCAGAAAATATCAAGTCAGCGCGCTGACGTTCCTGGGTCAAGCTGTCGGCCAGCTCGCTGCGTCGATGCGCCAAAGCCGACGCTTGGCGATGATTCGAGTCGGGGTCGTCCAGCACAGGCGGTGGCGGTGGTGACCATACCAAGATTTGTTGATCGTTGCTCCCGGTGTACAACTCTTGTCGATGTGGATGAAAGACGCAGCAATTCACCACATCCATGTGAGCCTTCAGAGACTTTACTTGCCGCCCTGTGGCCGCATCGTAGCACCCAATCTCGGAATCGCTTGGGTGAAACAGCAGTTCTTGGTGACGTGATTTCGAGCCTCCAGCGCCTCCCGCTCGGCCCGCCAATGCCATCCGCACCCCGCGCTTGGCCTGGTTTCGAATTTTCGTATAGTTAACCAGAGTGTTGATGCCGAGCATGACGTCCCAGCACCGCACCTTGCCGCGATTTCAAGCAACAACAAAAAGATTTTCAGCGTCAGCAAGGGGCAGTGCAACCATCAAATGCAGAACACGGCAAGTAGAGCGGTTGGTACCTTATTGTCAGTGCCCGTGCTGTACAGTAATGCACCATCGGAAGAAAATAATAAGCCATTGATTGCGCCGGAATGTGCGATCGAAAGTCCGTCACTGGCCGCACTCAGAGGCTGTCCAGCAGCGAGGGGTACGTGGTCACTGGAGATGGCAGAGGCGGCGGTGGCAGACGACTGTGGAACGGACGCACCGCGACCGCTGGCTGCTACTCTCGAGGAGGCGGCACTACTTGCAGCTGCAGAGGTCGACGCCGAGCCGAAAGTTTCGCTCAAAAGCTGCTGCAAGGTGCTGCCTTGCTCGATTTCGCCAGCCGATGTGATTGGGATGGAGGATGGCCGCGGGGTGAGCGTACCAGGACGGTCGGCTGGCCGGTGTTGGGATTGCAAGGTGCTCTGGCGCTCTCGCAGCGCTCGCTCGTATGCATCGCGCGACTGTTTCAGCCGCGCCTTCTCCTCGGCGAGCAGTCGCTGCTGCTGTCGCGCGAGCTGTGTGTGCTCTGCGGAGGTCGCTGGAGCGTGGTTGTGCTGGTCGAGCTCGTGCAAGACTCCTGTTCGCCGCACGTCCCAAAACAAAATACGACGGTCACGGCCAGCCGTCGCCAGAAGAAACTCCGACGCCGGCGACCACTGCACCGCATAGACCGTGTCTCGATGTCCCACGAGGGTCTGTGCGAACGAACCAGATCGAATGTCGCACAATCGCACTTTCTGGTCGGCGGTTCCGGCGGCAATTAGCGCATGTCGCGTCGCGTTTGGCGCCAAATGGTGCGCATACACATTGTGTCTGAGCTGAAACACACAGCCGACCTCGAGCGTGTTTGTGTCCCAGACCTTGAGCTTCGTGTCCATGGACGAGGTGACAAACATGCCCGTGTCGTGCGGGTACCACTGCACCGAGTCCACCGAGAACTCGTGCGCATCCGCCTGCTGCACAATGGGAGCAACAAGGCTTCTTCCTGCGGTTGCAGACGCACGGGATCCAACAAACTGCTGCGACTGGGACGGCGTCGTCTCAGAGTCGAGCCAGGTCGGCTCGAGGTCGAACACGGCAATGCGCTGGTCTGCGCCGCCAGACAGCAGGTAGCGGCACTCGGACGGATCCACGTCCAGCGACCGGACGCCTCGGTAGTGGACGCGCTGGAGCTCGGTGGTCAGGCTCAGGTCGAGCTGACTCGCTCGCCTGTCAACGCAAGCAAAACCCCACAAGATTGAGTATCAAACTCAACACCGCAGCCCGCGGCGCTCTGATCCAGCTCTTTTGGCTTATTTACATGCTTGTGTAGTAATTGTATAGGACGCGTGGCGGGCGCCAGTTGAGCTCGCGCTCTAACAAGAGTCGCCGCGTTGTCGTCGTCGTCCGCGTCGGCGTTGGCGGCGTTGCTTTTGATTTCGCTGCGCGTGCAGACGCCATTAGACTGAGCTGCGACCGAGTTTGGGCAAGAAGTTAAATGACAAAGGAGCTTGCCATCAACGGTTGTTCATTGAAAGACAATTGGGCGAATCATCCAGTGCAATGGTGCTGCGACTCTTCGAAAATCATTGATTGAAACGCAATTCTCGCTTCCAGCTCGCTCGTGGTAATTTTGTCAATCACACAAACAAGCAAACAAGGAATTCGCGATCAAGATCAGTCAGTTTTGATTTCGACGGCCGTTGTGCATTCGTCACAAAAACAAAAAAAAAAAAAGCGCCACTTGTCTGAGCCGTTTGTTTTCGTTGTGTTTGTTTAGTATTTTTTGTACTTCCGTCTGTTCTCGTCGTCTCGCTTCGAGTACCCTTGCTACACAATGCCGGACTCGTCGTTCGACCATGACTTTGGCCAAGCACCCGTGCTGCTGATGCAACGCGTCCCTGCAGCAGCCATGGATGGCAATGTTCACAAAATGAACGCGCCGGCGTTGTCTTACTCGTCGTCGTCTGCTTCTTCCTCTTCCTCATCCTCAATCTCATCGTCTGACTCGAGCGCCTCGTCATCGAGCTACTCCAACCCAAGCGTAGGCTCGTCGACATTTTCCACCTTGCTAACTACCTCTGCATCGTCAGTCTCGGTGGAGGCAACGCATTCGCCGGGAATGGCCTCGTCGCCAAACTCTTGCTACTCCTTGCGGTTGGAGCCCTTTGATCGCCCAGTCCCGCCGAAAACCGATGCAAAGAGCACTTTGGATCGTGCAGCAGGAGGCTCGGTCGCGAGAGGCCTTCGCCGGAGCAAGTGTCTGCCGGATTTGGCCAACCTCTCCGAAGCAACGTACCCTCAGGTCGTCTCCCCGTCTGTGGGCGTGTCTGCTCGTCGTCGGCTGTTGCATCGGCAGCAATCGTCGCCTTCTCCTTCACCTGGACTGGTCTCCACCGTGATTCTGCACAATGGGCTGACCCTCTCGCGTTCGCTGCATGAACCTTTGAGCACGTCCGAGCGTCGCGCAGAGGAATTCTCCCATCGCTTGCACCATCTGCTGCGTCGTGCCAGTTCGAAGAAACGCGGCGGGGAAGCTGAGCGATCGGCCGATCCAAGGCAGACCTCAGTGTAGATTTGCAGACCTCAGCGTAGATTTGCAATCTGCCTCGGAACTATCACGATGGTTTTCCATGTTCGATTGCTTCTCGATGAATCTTGAAACCACGAAAAACGCATATTATTTGCGCACATGCATACTTGTTCCCATTTCCGAGACAAATAAAAATGAGTCACCAGAAACAGCCAGCGCGTGCGACAATGCTCTCCAGTTGCAACGCGTTCTGCACCTCTCAATTTTACTCACGCTGTCGCGTCGACCTCGCATTCTCGCGACACATGTGATTTCCGCTGCTGGTCGGGTTCGGTGAACAAGCGGGTTTGTTGATCATCCTACCTTGCTTTTTTTGCGAACAGTTCCTACGTCAGAGGTGGCGGTTGAAACTGAGAGCAAATCACGCCCTCATCTCTCAGACCTTTTGGTTTGCCGATTGTTGCCGTTGGCACATGCAACGGTCGGCACCCTCCTCGCCATAACGCAGACGCTCCGAGGCAAAAAACAGACCAAGTCCGGCAATCTCGACTGATCTCACAACAGTTGACAGCACGGCGACCACGCTGAATGCAACGGAATGCGATATTCCCAGTAGGTGTTCCTTAGTAGGAAGTCGGACACTGACAAGATGAGCTTTTTTGTTGCCCGCTGTTTCCTCGCATTCGACAAAACTTTACAATAGGCTAGCTTTTTGTTGTTTTCCTCCTTGTTTTTAATGCCAGTCGTCGCGGGAGTTGCCTCGGGCCAGTCGTCGTTTTTGTATTGAGCTGTGCGACTTTTTCTTTTTTGTTTCTTTTGGTTGTTTCGTATCGTATCTTCCCTATCTTCTCCTCTCTCTCTCTCTCCCTCAGCTCTTCTTCAGGCGCCTTTTGACTGCTCCCTTGTTGCACTTCTGATGTAAGTGTTCCTGCTTCTCTCGGAGGGGCCCGCTTGAGCACCGAATGGACTTTGGTGGTTATCACAAAACAAGCCAGACACAGCCTAACGTGTCGCCACAACGACCTTTTCCCCATTTTCCCCATTAGATCTACAAGTAGTCCCAAACCCGCCGCCCACCGCCTCACTCTGCAGTAGTGTGGCCCCTTCCTTTTCATCCTTCCGTTGTAATTTCACAGTATGGTCAGCTTTGGACTCGGAATCCGCAAATCCAACCATAAACGCTCCGTGTCCGATTCCTCCGCCGCCGCCAATTCCTCTTCCTCTTCCTCTTCGACAACAGTTTCATCCGCCTCGACCGTGACCGCGTTCTCGTCATCTTCTAGACACGGCACTACACATATGGCATCCACCTCTGCCGCCTCCATCGCCTCGGCTGCAGGCGCCAACTCGGCGTCGTCCATGCAGGGCGTTCTTGTTGAACGCTCCAAATCAAAGATGAACGTCCTCGATTGTCTGCACCACCAGCGCGATTCTCCCGATCCCCACGCCCGATATGTCTCCATCGGAGCATCTTCAACTGGTCGCAGCATGGGCGCCCGTGTAAACTCGCCACGAGCGACCCGACACGACGATAGCGCGCTCCACCGAAGCATTTCATCCTCGACCTCGTCTGCATCGACCGCCTCGATGGCATCGACTGTATCACAAGTCTCTCTGGGCCGATACACAATCCATGACCTCAATCCCTGCAGTCAGTCAGCCAACCCAAATGGCTGGCATCTCGTCACCTCGAGCAGCGACTGT